CAAAGCATGGAGCCCAAGGCATCTGCCTCACAGCTCTTAATAAAGTGCTATGAGATTTATGGACAAAAACTGTCATGTACATCAGTCTTGTAAAACTTAGTATTGGCAATTTTGTGCCCCATATAGAGTTTCATATTTCTCTGTGTTTTTTTTTTTGTTTTGTTTTGTTTGAGCCTAATAAATTAACTGTTGATGTTCATATAAGTACAGGCAGGTTACCTGTGGGAGGCAGATAATCAACTCGGGGAAAATCTATAACAGCTTTGGTTTGCATGGAGGAGTCACAACACAGCCTGGGTAGTTTCATAAAAATTGGAAGCACTTCTGATTGCTCTGCCATGCTCCTTGCTTCTCTTCTACCTCCTCTCCTTCAGCAGACACGAGCTGTTGCTGCTTCCAGTGGTGTTAACTGCTGTGGAGGCTTCAGCTCTAAAACCTTCTTGGTACCATGGTGGTGTTACAGGGAGCAAGAGGGTTCTCACTCCTGGCCTCAGTGAGAGAAGAATCATCCTCATAGTTTGTGAGATGCAGTTATAAATATACAATATTAATTTTGTGGACAATTGTTGTCAATCAGTATGTTTAAAACAGGGGTGGTGGAAGACTGGGTATGTGGCAGACTCCTTTTTATTGAAGGCGTTATATATATATGTACATATATATAATTCTTCAGTTATTTCAATCAGTTACTGCTGATTTAATTGGGTTACCATTCCAAAGCTGCTTGGTAATTTTATGAACTCCTTTTATTGCCCATTGAGAGAAGAGCAAATAGAACCATAAGTTAGGTTTTCATTTTGAAAACAGCTCACTCATTACTGCAGCACAAATGTAAATCAGCCCTCCATGGTTTAGCTGTAGCTAGTGACAAGCATTGAATGATGGTTTCAGCATGACATTTTAGGGGCAGACACCTTTTCCCTTGAATAAGCTGCTGAAAATGATGCTGCCTTGTATATTCTTCTTAAGCTAAGAAGATCTGTGTGTCTTCCTGTCCAGTGTAATGTTTGCTCTGAAAAGGGCAGCCAGCATAGATCAATACTGCTCTTTTAATTCACCTATGAAATTGGTAAAAGCTTGAGCTGGACAAGGGGGATAGAATGAGTTCTTGGTGGTATTTTAGCTCAGTGCTGTTAGTCTGGAAACAGTAATGGTGTTTATGTTTTCATTGTAAGCTGTTTTTTTTTAGGGAGTCGTGATTTTTTTACAGTTTGCTGGATGTTAGGCCAGGCAGAAAGAAGTTTTTCCCACTTACTTTGATTAATTTGTTACGATGACAGAAAAGAACAAAACAAAGGGAAAATTAGCTCATGGCATGTTTGGTGGTCAAATAAGAGTTATTGTGGATTCACATTGAAACCTGTGAATCTTGAAAGTGAGAAAAGCTTAATCTGCAAGCAGTTGCTGCTAGGCAAAGTGCTTGGTTCTGGCTCTCTGGGATGCTCCGTCCATTTCCTGACCATGAAGCCGGTCTTTCCTGAGGTCTTCTGTAACTGCTAGAGGTAGGGGATGTGTTTCAGTCTTCTTAGGCTATCGCTTATCCTTGGAGTGAGCAAAAGCCTTGGCTTGAGGAAATACTCAAGCACAGACTTGTAAGAAGTCCAGGGTGACTTGAAGAGTCTCCTTTTGCTTGTGTGTATTCTACTCTATCTGAAAACTGTGGACCAATTCTCTGGAAAATTTGGACTGAGTCACAGCTGGCACCTTTAAAAGCTCCTGGCCTCGAGACTTGGGTTTTAGGCAATCAGACATGTTCTCTTAGATGAGTATTACTGATTTCAGATGATATCAAGGGTTTATATATTCAGATAGGAAGTCTGAGGGCTGTAGTAAAACTGCCTCACAAATGAAGTGAGAAGCAGAAGTTGTTATTTTTCTCTCCATAGTTTTACTGAGCACATACTGTAGTGAATGTACCTCATTGAATTTGAATGAAGCACCTCATTCAAACGTAGACAGAAAGCTGAAATTATACTTTTTTCTATCTTCTTTTTCTTCTAGAGAGTTTTGGATTAGCACTGCCCTTAAGGCTAAACAAGTTTTTGCTTACACTGATGTTCAGTGGTGCTTTGCTTCCAGCAGCAGTTTATTCAGGGGAACTACCAACAACTCCCAAATCTGTTTTGCTCTTAGTTTCTTCTAAGGCACTGCATATATGCTTAATAAACTCTTAATTCTTTCTTGGAAGACATGTAGTTAGGATCTCAGATCTTCCTCTGGACCTCGCGGTGTGTGGTGCCTTCAAAATCCTGGGGGCCTGTTGTGGGAGTTTATGAATCTATCTGTTGATGTTTAGCCCAGGCAAAAACCTGAGAAATCCCTTGTCCTGTTAAAGTCTTCCACAAAACATCTGCTAATTTTGTGGGATTAGGATTTATGCAGCCACACACCTTCAGTTTTCCCTCTCTGGACATTTGTGTGGGTCATTTTAAAAGTTAGAAAAATATATTTGCAAAAAAAAGTTGGGAGAAGTAAGGAGAGAAGGGGCTGGATTGTGACTTCTGAAATTTCTTCTAATCCGGTTGGGCTTTATATCTGTTCCAAACTTTCTGCCATTGGAAGACAATAGCGAAAATGGCACCAGAGTAATTTTATAAGGTCTGCCTTTGAGTTGATTAAATGGCTATATTGTTAAGGGCTGTGCAAACACATGTACTAGCCAGAATCCAGCCCACACACACAGCACCTCCAGTACCTTACAAATTGTGCCAATGTGTGATATTACTTTGCATATGTAAATCCAGGTGATAGTGTCCACTCAACACTTCCTGAAAAAATAATGGGTAATAATGCTGACAAGTGCTGAAATGAATTGCAGTAGTTAGGACTGACATTTATTTTGTGAAAAAAACTTACTTGCTGGCTGTTTCTTTTTGTGTGCAATGACAATGCCTCAGCTTCTGTGAGTATTCAGTTGAACAGTGGTGCAGTGATGCAATTCTGTGTCTTAGCCTGCCACGTCCTCACTTCACACATTTTCTGGCAAATGTCCTTTTTTCCTGAATGCTCTGTGGCCACAGCCTGGTTAAAACAAACAGGGAAAACACCTTTGTTTTTTAGGGACTGAGATGACTAATAATACATTGGTTGACTGATGGGATGCTGTTAAAAGGGCTGTCGGCATCCTGGAGAAACTCCATCTGGGATGAAGTAGCCCCATGCAGCAGTTTGGGGGCTGACTGAATGGAAAGCAGCTCTCAGAGAAGGACATGAGCATTGGGGTAAGGAGCATGCAGAACTCAAGTGAGCACTGTGCCCTCACAGTGAGGGCCAGCTGCCTCCTGGGCTTTGTCAGCAAGGCTGTAGCCAGCAGCTCCACAGAAGGGGTCACTGGACCCAGACTGGAGCAGAAGAGTGTCTAACTAGGCTTTAGGAGAAATACTTTCCCTGTAAGAGGGGTCTGACTGGACCAGGGTACCAGAGAGTTTGGGAAATTTTGGAGATGTTAAAAAAAAACAGTTGGCCCTGAGCAGCCTTCTTTTGCTGAACCAGCTTTGACAATGGGTGGGACAAGATGACCTCCAAAGGATCCTTTCACCACAAATTAGTTTGTTATGCTACCTGGAAAGTCAAGGGGAGTGGTGTAACCAAATGATGTCCAGTGTAGGAGCAGTGAGCAAGTACCAAAATCTGAGTCCTGGGCATGTACCAAAATCTGAGTGCTCCAAGAAATGGAGGCTCCTAGAGGCCTCAGTGTGGGTAAGGTTTGCAGTGTGGCTCTGAACCCTATGTCCCTTGCAGATATTTTTTTCCAGCTGCCTCCACATATCCTTCCTTAGTCTGTGGCCTCAAATCCCGCATACTAGCACATTGTAAAACTTACTTGGATGCTTTGAAAGTGAATGTTGGATCACAGCAGACTGCAGAAATTATATATAAGTGAGATTTAGAGCTCTGCTTCAGAGTTGTCTGGGGTCAAGAGAATTTATATTGAACAGTACTGACTCCTTTAGTGAGATTAACATGCTGCAAACACAAGTGTTTTTACAGATTTTCAGTTGAAGGTTTCAGTCAGAATATTCACAATAACAATTGCTTGTGTTCTTGTTGCCTAAGAGACTATGAATATCTTGGAGAACTTCACTATGGTCAAGAAAACCTTTGTTTATCTCTGAAATTAATAGAATTTTTCAACACATAAAAAAATAAATACAATGTAACTTTTTCTACTTGGGCTGCCAAGTAAAATTAAATATATAGCAAAGAAGGGAACTGACTTGTGGAGAATTTGTAGATAGTCAGTTTCTGCTGTCCGTCCTCAGTGACTCCATCCCATTCCAAATCTGCTGGACATGTACACATCCATGGGCCTGGACTGCAGCACAGTGTATTTAAATAGATGTTAGAAAAATAATTTTGGGAGAACAAAGGCATTCGAGCACTGGACCAGATTCCAAAACCTCTCTGGAGGGGCTTTATCATTGGACATGAAATAAACATCTGCCAAAATTGGTCTAGAAGTAGCTGATCCTGCCTTGAGAAGGGGGAGAAGCTGAATTATATTACTCTTCAAGGTCCATTCTAAGCCTGTTTCCTGTATTCAGGGGTATGTTACTAATGTAAGCATCTTATTTCTAAGTAAATTAGAAAGGCTCCAGCAAATGGGCTGAGGTACGCCCAGAACAGAATTGCGGTGAGATAATATTTTTGTTCAAGCAGCTTATCCCAAAGCCAGGACTTTGCAGAATAAAGGTTTAATGGATTCAAAAGTCATGTGTAGCCAGGTGAGTGCTCTGCAGCTGAATTGCCCTTTTAGCTCTGCTGCTCCTGTGGCTGCTGCTTGTGGAGGTGTTGTGGTAGCACAGACAGGACTGGTTTCAGGTCCTTGCAGTTTTTATTGCTGTAATGTGTTGCAACATAATCCTGCTGTTTATGTTATTGTCTCTTCCCAGTTTCAGGAGAAGTCCTGCTTTATGTGGTGCATAGATTTTAGATTGTTCAGAACAACTTTTTCACCCAGGGAAATTGACTGATGTGATTGGATTTGTGTCCTTTGAAAATATTACCTTGCTTCCAAAAAAAAAAAAGTTAAAAAAAGGTAAAGAAATTAGGAGTGGGAAGAGATAATCTGGGAGCAGAATTGATCAACAGCTCTGCCATCTGTACTAGGAATAGGAGGACAGGTCCTCAGACTCCAGAGTGAGAAATCAGAAAGTGTATGATGGACAAACAAACAGAAGATTTTGAGTATCAGATCAGTCTTCTTGGCAGTGAGCTAAATCTTATTTTCAACACTCTGTATGCCTTTCACAAGAGATAAGAGTATTCTGAATTGCACCAAGGTCAGTATTCCTTTCCTAAACATGGAAGAGTTATGGCTCTATGTGGGTAAAATTTGTCACTGTGCTTGTGAACCATTAGCACCCTCCTTAAAAACTCAGGAAAGTCTTCAATGGTTCATGGACCTGTGTATTGGAGAAAATACATCCTGTCTAATTGTTCATTCCTTTATGTTAGGCCTGGAGGAGTTGTGGTGGGATAGATGTAGCAGTTTCTCACCTCTCTCATCATAGCCCCTGGATACAACCATGGGCATTGAAACAGCCCTGTAAATACAGGAATGGTATTTAGATTTTCTGTGCTAGATATTGTTGTTGTTTCTGTTGTTTTTTATTAGCTGAACTGTCAGAATGCAGCTCTTGGCCCACATGTCTCAGTGTACCAGTACCTGGAGTGGTGTGTGACGGCTTTTGGGGAGACTATGAAGGAGGTAATGGTGTGAGAGGGATGTGGGCTTGTTTGTGGGCAGCTGATCTGCTGTGTGACCTCAGGGACACTGCTCTCTGTGTCTGGGAATCTGCATTATTTTCCTTGCTTAGATAGGTAACTTTTCAAAATCAAACAACATTTATAAGTGAATTACAGTTTCACTGAGGTTCTTCTTTGATTCTAGACTAATCAATGATGGAGAATGCAGAATTATTTTTAAGAAGTGTATTGATATATTTTTATTCCGCATCATCTTTTCCTATATGGAAGTGTTTGACTTTGGGATCATGTATCAAATATTTTTGACAACAAATTACCCCAGTAAGTGTAACAATAGGATTTTATGTTCATTGTGATCAGTAGAGCAGTACTTGAATGGAAAAAAATTGAGAACTCAGTGGAAAATGGGGTACAAAAAATAATTTGGGGAAGGGATCCATAGAAATTGTGCTCATTACAGAGGTACCTAGACCTACAAGTTGCAATGTCCACTTCACGTAGTACTTTGTGTTTTGAAGCTGTGCTCTTGATGGGTGCCATTAGTATGATCTGTCAAACAAGATTATTGCCAAAATAATCTGGAGAGAAACAATTTATTTTACCATCAACCACAGCAGTGCTGACCTGCTTGTAACAATGCCTTTGGTATCTTCTCAAATATTTCTGTGAACTTCAGCCCTTGGGATGATAGAACACAAGGAAGTGCTTAGAGTGGCCAGCTGTCTGTCTGGGCTGGCTGTGGAACAGGTTTGGGAACTGCAGCATTCTAACTGTGCTTCAGTGTGGGGATTTACAGGTTGATTCTCAAGCCAGCATATTTTAATCTGTCACTTCCACTTAGTTGCGGATAATGATCTTTTAATGTATATGAACAGAATATAAATTGCAGAGCCTTTGGGAATGTTGCAAGGTGCAAGCCTTGTTAACTCTCATAATGTGTATCTCCAGAGCCTTTTCAAGTCAGAGAGAGAATAACTTTAATTTTTTTTTTACTTTAATCATTTTACAAGGTGACATTCTGAAAACTGGGTGGTATTAGGTGTTGCTGCTTGTTCTTTATGTATATGAGAAAGGAGTTCAGATCACATACTGCATTCCCAAGCAGCTTCTGTTATGTGCAGGCTACAGCTGGTGTGTTTTCCCTTGCCCCTTTCTCATATCCAACCCTTGGCATATCCTCTTTCCTTACCAGCATCCTCACAGTGGAAATAGCAGAATTTCACTTTGGGAGGATTCATTTTATGTTGTATTGGTCCCATGGAAGTTACACCCCTTGTGGCACTGCTCATATAGGCTGCTTCTCTAGTCATGGCAGAGGTGAGCCCCACCTCTGGTGATTCACTCCCAAAAAACTGTGCCTGGATGAGTAGTGGGAGCCATGGTCTGGAGATGCTTCTTCTGTGCTTGCTTGTGTTCTTTTACTCTCAGTTGTAACAGCTTCATTTCTCCTTATCAGTCTTTTGGAGGAAGTGATTTTTTTTTTAACCCCCTATATTTGAAGACCATTTTTTGGTCAGGTGTGAATATTTAAATAAAGTGGTATGAGTATTTAAATAATTTTACATTTGAATGTCAGTAGTGCTTTTAACAGCTGTAGTTGTTTACACATGATGGTCATCTCTTTCCGATCTTCATTGTATTGCAAAGTTGCACAAACATTTGGCACACACTCAGTGTCTGAAACAGCCTGGTGACAGTAGAATTGTACTGGGGTGACCATAGCCAAATAGGCTTACATGGGAGTAGCATCAGAACAAAATTCAACTCAGACTTTATTTACCTGAGGTCTTCTGGAGGTTGTACTGAATCAATTTTAAAAGAAATGTAATTGCATAATTTTATTATTTTCATGGCATTTTAATGCAATATTCTGGATAAAGGATGGCACTGCCAGTGGAATACAAAAAATAAATTACAGCTGAGAAAATAATTCAGCTGATTAATTTATCCTCTTTGCCTCACAGAGTGTCCATAACCACGGAGTGGTTTCTTCAGATGGTCTTGCTATTTGTGCTAGATGACTTTTTAAAGTTAACCTCCACCTCCATAGTCTGTGAATGACTTTGCAATTAGCTGTGTCAAGTATTACAATGAATTGAATGTTGCAGCTTATATCATAGGGAAAGAGGCTGTGCCAGTATTACCTTACTTTTTTTCCAGGCTTAATTAAGTGTGCTAAAGCAGTTACTACTGTCCAGCTTACAGACAACAACTTAAGTCATGCTAACTGGATTTCAGTCCAAATCCCTAATTGTGATTGATCAAGTAAATGATACATGCATTTAAATGTTTTTCTCTGCTCAGTGAGTCAGAAAATGTAGGCAGTACTTCTAGGTGGTGCATTAGACAAGTGTTTGCCCTATGATGAGTGGAGAAATTCAAACACTTAAAAAATCAGTGAAATGTTGATCCTGAGCTGAAGGTTGTTTTGGTTTGTTATCCACAGCATTTTAGAAGTACTTGGTGTCAAAACCTGCACGTGTGTAGCTTGGATGATTGGTAGAAGCTCTCAGTTCTGGGGAAATTAGCAGAAGTAACAGCCCGGGTGCTTGTCTGCATCATTAGGAGACAAAATCTGCTTCCTGGGCATGGCTGAGTGTCAAAGTAAGATTCTTTAGGGGGAATTTACTCACAGCAGAATTTCCTGAGTTTGGAACCCTAAAATGGAAATCTGCCAAGATCATCAGATTCCTTAGGGAAAAAATGTCTTTGAGCTCTGGAAATACTTTGTAGAGTTACCAGGATTTGTGTGCCCTTTCAGGTTCACATCAGTGTTACATCCCTTGTGACTTCACTGTGAGCAGGACTAGGCCCTTTAATTAATGTTCCTTCGACTTAGAGGAAACCATGCTAAAATGTGAACTTAATCTTGAGAGGTTTATGGAGTGTAACTGTGCAGGAAGGAGGAGGTGAGGCTAAGACAACATAGCCTTGAAAGAAACTGATAGAAAATCTGTAGGCATGAGCTCTCTTTGAGTATTTTAAGTAGCCGAGCACAACCATTGTAAACCAGTTGAACTTTCTTTCTATTGTGCCTGGATAATCACAGATTAATGCTAACAAAAGATGAAACTGTCCCAGTTTGGGGTTATCAGTGGTACCAAAGTGGTACCATGCTCAAAAATTCAACTCATCAAAAAAAAATGTTCTGAAGCTTGTGGTGTATGACCTCAAAGAGAATGGAGACTGAGTGCAGATACTATGCAAAACATAACTGAGGAAGAGGAACTTTGCTGACAAATAAATGTGTAGTATGGGGATCCATGTGGTCAGTAAAAATCTCTTAGTGGTTTGTTCCAGAGGAGGTTGGAAACCACAGCACTTTGTGATGTGTTACACATCTGTGGTGTAGCTGTCTCAAAGGGACTGTATCTGCAAACTGTCTCCGTGACTCCTCTTTGAGAGCTTTAGGGATTTCACAGCGTGCTAAAAGCCCAGAAATTTGCAACTCCCCTTCCAAGACAATGGGCCTGTGGCCTCACCAACAATGTGTGACTGCAGAAGCACTGGGCTAGAGCCCATCTCCAAATTGGACTGGGAAGATCCTGTCATTCTGGTTTTTATTCTAAAGTTAGTATTCTTTTCACACAGCTTTCCTAATGACTGCCTTTTATTTAGCCCTGAAGCTTAACATTTGGAACTTCTATTTGTTGGGGTTTTTTTTCGTTATCTTGGAAAATAATGTTCATTCTTCCAGTTACCATCTTTCTTCTGTGTCTTGTTTCATTTTCTATTCTATGTGAATTCTTAGCCAGTAGCTCCTTGAAACAGCTGAAGCAATTAAAGCAAACAAGTAACTAACATCTGGTATGTGTTTATTTGCTCTGTTATATTCTCTCCAGGGCAAGAATTGTGTGATTCGGAATGGTTTCCAGTTCATTATGTTATCTATATTTGAAGGAGGTCAGAGAGGTTAATGTTGCACATCAAGTTGAGATTTGCAAAGTTTGTGGTAGTTCTGTGTTCTTAGGATGTTCATGACACAGGCCTTTGCACTTCAGGAAAATATAATTTCCAGCTGAACACAGTTTTACCCTTGAGGAAAAAAAGGTTCCTGAGTGAGTGAAGGGTTTCCTTAAGTAGAGAGCAAGTTGTGCTGAGACAGGAGTGTGGTCATTGCCCTGTGGCTTGAGTCACTTGTTGAAGTTGTTCTGATAGTAACTGGCAGAACAATGTCCCGGTCCATGGCTCAGGAGTCAGGGTCTCTGCAAGTCAAACAACACATTCTTCAGATGATCAAGCTCCTCTTGACACAGTTATTCTGAATCTTTCCTGTACATTCTTTCTGTAGTCTAAAAATCACTTCATAGTAGTAACACATTAAGGAGGTTCTGGACCATGGTCTTACTAAGCAGGATCCATTTTCTGTCTGTATCTTGCACAAATTATGACTACAGTACCCTCAAAATAAAGCAGTGAAATATTGCCCACTGAATTTATTATACAGAGCAATTTCATGGAGGCACCATTATGAATATAATCTGCATCATCTATATGGTTTTATATTGCTGTCTCAACTGTAAGTCAGTGTAGTGTACTAAGAATTTACTTGTCACTAAGTTCTTGCTTTAGTTATTTCTGAGTAAAACTTGATTTGTATTTGTCATTATTTGTCATGATCAGAAGTGCCCCCAGACAGAAAGGTAATTATTGGCTTTAAGCTGAAGGAGGGTAGATTTAGATTGGGTATTAGGAAGGAGTTCTTTACCGTGAGGTTGGTGAGACACTGGCACAGGTTACCCAGAGAAGCTGTGGATGTTTCATCCTACTTCATCCAGAATTCTTCAGGGTTGGGTTGGATGGACCTCTGAGCAACCTGGTCTAATGGAAGGTGTTCCTGGCCCTGTCAGAGGGAATGAGATGATCTTTAAGGTCCCTTCTGACCCTCGCCATTCTATTGGTCCATGACTCTATGATCTGAAATCTTGCCTGGTTTTTATAGTGCTCACTTACACTGCCAGGGTTCTTGTGTTAATGAGTTGCTTGAAGTGGAGATTTTATTGACTAAAATGAATCAATAACTAGAGGTTTCTTGGGTCTGAATATACTTTGACTTCCAGTCACCCCAGTCCAGATTTATGTCTTTTTTTTTTATTATTTATAGTGCTATAAAACAGAGCTTGGCTCTAGATCATGAGTGAAGTGTGGTGATGTTTATCAGATGAGTCCTGCTGCCCTTCCTCTGTGAGGAGAGATCAATGGTCTTATTTGACCTCTTAATGATTCCTAAGAACTGAAGCCTTGGGAAATGCCTGGAGTAAATGTGTCTTACAACCACTCTGTTAGCTAGCAAATACCTGCCTTCAAACTAATCTGAAGGTGCAAAATCATTTCTATGTTGTCATGATTTAATCTCAACTGGCAGCTCAACCCCATGCTCACCCACCCCCTGTGGGATGGGGCAGGGAACCAGAGAGGTAAAATGGCAAAAGTTGTGGTTGAGATGAAAAGCATTCAATAGGTAAAGCAAAAGTGAAGCAAAACCAGGAATTCATTGACCCCCCTCCCATGGGCAGGCAGGTGTCCAGCCATACCCAGGAAGGCAGGGCTCCATCCCATTTAATGGTGACTTGGGGAGACAAACACCATCACTCTGAGTGTCACCTCTCTTTCCCTCTTCTTCCCCCAGCTCTACGTGCTGAGCATGACACCATAAGGTGTCTTCTTTTAGGACAGGAGAATTTTGATACTATCTTGTCACATTTAAAATGAATTGATTTTCATACTAAATTGAAATAAATTAGCTTAGTGTGCATCAATTAGTGTTTAAGTGTCAGAGATCAAAAACATTTGCTCTCCTCATGATCTTAAGTTACATATAATCTGATGGCAAGTATAAGAACTGCCAGTTTTGGCTTTACAACAGCTTCTTCTTGGAAGGAAAGCAAGAAAGCAGTTCTGCAAAAGTTAACTTACTAGTAACTGTAACTGCCTTTTGAATTCAGTTTCAGCTGAATTATATTTATATTTATTTATTATATTGATAGTAAAATACAGAAACATTTAAATGCCCGTCTGTCCATCTGCAGGTGTCCACAGTTAGTTGTTGAGGAAGAATTACTGTGGAAGTTCCATCTCTGAAAGCCCCTTTTCCAGAGATGACATTTCCAACTTCTCAGCATTGCTGTAGGGTTGTAGCTAGGCTGTGGCAGAACAGGAATTGCTTCTGGAACTGACCAAAGTTGTAAGAGGGTTGTGACACTTCAGGTGAGTAGGAAGGAGATAGAAAAATACCTCAGGGAGTGCAGATATCCAAATATGTTCCACAGCATTCTGAAGTCAGGAATTGAAAACCTTCAAAAGAAGTTGTGATATGTTTTCAAGAGCACAGAATGCTGATGTGTGGATCACCTTAGAAGTAAATGAATCATCAGCAAAAGTAATTGCAGTCTACATTCAAGGAAATAACATTGGAATTAGTGGATTATAAATTGCAACATCATGTAAATGAATACAACTCAGCTGAAACTGTAATTGAGAGAAACCTGCTCGAAAGTTGGATCCTAAATTGATTGATTGATTGATAAGTTTTCTCTTTAAAGATTTTTTGCATAACTGAAGTACATGGGTTTTGCGACTATTAATTTCAGTGTGGTAGTGAAACAGAGACTGATTTGCAGATGAATTTGGCAGTCTTCTTTTACCCTGGTGAAAAGGAGACCTAAACCTACTGCTTTCAGATTTGCTAAAGCTGTAAACCAACCTAATTTAAAATGACACCTGTGAAATACTTTATTTCCTTTTTTGTGTGTTGTGTTACAGCATTTCACAGTACCCAGAGATGGAGAAAAGAATGTGTCACAACAGCAAAACTGAATTAAATGCTCTAACAATATCTTATGTTCTTTTCAGGTTCTATGTAATCTCATTGGGCAACAGCAGTGGAACTCGTCTGTCCAAAATGGTTTATGGTGAATTTTTCCGCAGACCTGGCAAAGACGCAGAACTTATCAATTTGAATGTGGGTGGCTTTAAGCAATCAGTGGATCAAAGCACCTTGCTCCGATTTCCCCATACCAGACTTGGAAAACTTCTCAAATGCCATTCAGAAGAGGCTATTCTAGAGCTGTGTGATGATTATAGTGTGGCAGACAAGGAATATTACTTTGACAGGAATCCTTCCTTGTTCCGATATGTTCTGAACTTCTACTATACGGGCAAACTTCACGTTATGGAAGAACTTTGTGTCTTTTCCTTCTGCCAGGAAATAGAGTACTGGGGGATAAATGAGCTGTTTATTGATTCCTGCTGCAGCAATCGGTACCAAGAACGGAAAGAGGAAGGTCCTGAAAAAGACTGGGATCAGAAGAGCAACGACAGTATGGACTCCTCCAATGAAGAGTCATCCATATTTGACAAAGAGCTAGAAAAGTTTGATAATCTGTGTTTTGGTGAAATAAGAAAGAAGATCTGGGTCAGGATGGAAAATCCTGCATACTGCTTGTCTGCCAAGCTAATTGCCGTGTCATCCCTGAGTGTTGTTCTGGCATCAATTGTAGCCATGTGCATTCATAGCATGCCAGAATTTCAAAGGCTGGATGCCAATGACAGGGAGATTGGAGACCCTGTGCTGGAAGCTGTGGAGATTACATGCATCATCTGGTTTACTGCTGAGCTAGTGATCAGGCTCTTCACTGCTCCAAGTCAGAAGAAGTTCTGGAAGAAACCACTGAACATCATTGATTTTGTCTCTATTATCCCATTTTATGCCACACTGGCTGTGGACACCAAGGAAGAAGAGAGTGAAGATATTGAGAACATGGGGAAGGTCGTTCAGATCCTGCGGTTAATGCGGATATTTCGCATCCTGAAGCTGGCCAGGCACTCTGTAGGACTACGGTCTTTGGGCGCCACTTTGAGACACAGCTACCAAGAAGTTGGACTTCTGCTTTTGTTTCTGTCAGTTGGGATTTCTATCTTTTCAGTGCTTGTCTACTCAGTGGAGAAAGATGATGACTCATCAGAGCTGCAGAGCATCCCTATTTGCTGGTGGTGGGCAACCATCAGCATGACCACTGTTGGTTATGGGGACACTTACCCGGTCACGCTTGCTGGAAAGCTGCTCGGCACCCTCTGCATCATCTGTGGGATTCTGGTGGTAGCACTTCCAATCACCATTATTTTCAATAAGTTTTCTAAGTACTACCAAAAGCAAAAAGCTATTGATAGAGACCAGTGCAACAATGATCGCAAAGAGAAAAGCAATGACCTACCCTATTTTAACATTAGGGATATTTATGCAAAAAAGATGCACTCCTTCATTTCTAGCCTTTCTTCAGTAGGAATTGTAGTCAGCGACCAAGAGTCAACAGATGCCTCCAGTATTCAAGATATGGAGGATGCTTATAACACAGTATCTTTAGAGAATGGTACAGGAAAATGAGTTGAATCACGTTTGCTTCTCTTTATTTCTCTTCTGATTCTTGGTAAATGTGGACTGACAGACTTCAGTGAATTCATTAAGAGCAGTTGATTCTCAGGGTACTTAACTCTCAGCCATATTTGGACATTCTTTGCTCTGAGGATGCCATAAAAGCTTCATTGTTTATATGAGGTTTTAAAATATGCCTCATACAGTGGTTTAGTTTTTACACAACTAGTGTTATGCATTTTTGGAGACAAAAAGCTGGGAAAAGAGTTTTACAGAGTTTTACATGTGAGATAAGTGGAGTCTTTTTGATTTGTGAGTATTGTTGTTTGATTTGTTCATTGTTTTTTCCCCTGCAGCAGTCTCATATCTTACACAGAATTTGCTTTTATAATTTGCTGCTCTTCTGGTAGAGATACATTAAAAATGTGTAAGAACTATTGCACAAGTTAGTGAAGTTTTCACCTGCAAATACATTAGATAAATGAAGGAATTGCGTACATGTAAAAATGTGTTCACTAACAAATTTGTGTAATTTTAGAGTTGGGAACCCATTTCCTAAGTTGGGGCAGAAAATATATTGGTACATATTGTTTTTACTCCATGGAAGCATAATATTTATTAATTTCTTTCCAAAAGCACAATACATTTTTAGTTTGTTAAAATAAATTATTCTCATTGTGCCTGTATTTTTCCTAGGATCCAGCCATGGCCACGCTCTATCAGGCCCTAAAGGTTTTTAGTAATAAGTCCCAGGATGAAGTGTGAGCAGGATAGGAGCTTTTTATTCCATTTAGCCACCTCTCCTGCTGTTGTGACCCTGAGCGATTCTGGTGCCTGGAGGGGATCCCGCTGTGGTTAAGGCCACCTCAGTGGCTTCCCCAGGGACTTTGATTTCTGGGCACTGAAGCAAACATCTGTGGTGGTGTTTGGAAGTCCCTGCTCCCCAGTGCCAGCCCAGCTGCCCCTTGCTGGGGGCTGCTGCCTCGGTGGTGGGAGCAGCAGCTGGGCCGCTGTGCTGGGTCTCTGTCCAGGGCTGAAGTGCCAAGCAGTGGAGATGTGGGACATCCTCTTCTCTGCCATGTGTTGCCCATCAGGGACCTAGGGTGGGAGTTGCACCTGGGCATCTGTATTGGAACGATTTCAGCTCATTTTTCTAAAGCTCATCTGGTGGTGGTGGCAGCTTTCCTGGCGTGTGCCATGTGCTGGAGCAGTGCTCATTGCTTGGCAGAGTCCCGCAGCTCTGTGCATTCCCCTCCTCTCCAGGGATTTCTTAAGCAGCCAGCTAGCTCTGCTCTGTTTCAAGCAGTGCTGGAGAAGCTCAAGGATCTTAGAGTGTCATGTGGACCATATAGTCCATAGTGTTTCTGAACACTCATTTTCTTTCATTTGTCTAGTGACTAATGCTGGGCAACGGAGAAACGAAGACACTGTGATGTCAATATTTGCCTTGAAGAGAGGTTTGACTATTTTATTTTTTTAAATATTATTGGGTCAAATATAGAAGCCTGTACTGAACTTCTATTCAAGAAGATTAAGCTCCATAGGAATTGACTTCAGAACTGAGTAAGATGCCAGAAAATGACGATTTTGGCCACTGCAGAAACTTGATTTTTCATGTATCTGCCAGATTTTCTATTGCAAAATGCATTAAGTAAGTAACTGAGGTGCACTTAAATTTGCTGAGGCACCAAGCTCTAACCTCTTTCTGAGATGGAGAAACAAGAAAACAGGATTAACCTATACATTGTAAAGATGTGTCTCTCAGGACTGCTGTGCATCAATATAGTGATGTAGAACTTAAAGAAAATCTTTTGAGCTTTGGAGCAATCTCAAAATTTGGTTTGTTACTTGCTGACTGTTGTAAGGGTATGTGATGCTTCACAGACAGTTAAAGATAATTCTTCCCATATTTCTTGTAGGAATAGCAAAAGGCAAAGTTAGCCTAAATGTGATTTGTTCTTGCTGAACAATTAACATTAAAAAGATGCAATGATAACAAAATACTAACTATGTATGTTCATGTGAATCGAATAGGAACCAACAGAATAACAGCAAAAAGTTACTGTCCAAAGAAAATCTCTTTCTTTGGTGTCCATGTAAAGATATATTTATAGATATATATATATATCTTACATTGCCACTGAAGATCAAAAGCGATGAGAATACTGTAATGCAATAAAACCTGCAAGAAATTGTATTAAATAGTTGAAAAAGTGCTACTGAAAAATTTAGTTTTGTGTATCAGGCATTACTCAAGGATCACTAAATATACAAGTTTGTGGATTAAATTTTATGACTGGCAATTTTTCCTAAAATGGATAAGCTTTTGATTGATCTCATGAATCAGTCTTAAGGCTGTTACACTTTTTAAGTGCTCTGACTTTATGCATTGATACAGCTTGCAGCAAAGTGAGATGTCTTTGGGGACACATCAGAAGGTGAAGTACATATCCATATATCATTTAGTGTACACTGTTTTGATTTCTGTGATGAGATCTTGGCCTTTTTCGAATCAATTGTATCTTAAAAATGGCTTTTTTTGTATCCTTCACCCTTGCTGGAATAAATCCAGCACCTTGTTTTCACACAGGTGTGATTGTGAGCAGGATGGGAGCTGTGCTTCATGCCAAAGGATTTTCCTCTCAAGGCAGAACTGCAGAGTTTGACATGCACTGATGCTAGGCAGTGCCACAAGCCTCGAGTGCCAGAAGGAAGCAGATGAGAGCAAAGTCTGATATACTGCACATTCTAGGGGGCTGTTTCTTATTGAATTTGTCTTCTTCCCTGGTCTGCCGTGGCATATTGGTGATTTGTGATATCAGTGTCAACAGAAGTTTATTGCATATTGTTTTTCTTTTTCCTGAATCACATTTTTTTGCTTTAGAAACGCTTCCTAAATTCTCACCACCCAGCTTCTCTGTTTCAGATACCAAAGCACAGAGATTTCTATTTAGACATGCATCCCTTTTTGTATGGGAGAGATTTGTTCATTTTTATACAAAACAATTTACTGGCATGTCGTTGCTTTCTTTATTTTGATGCCAAGCTCTTCCCTTTTGATTTCCACAAATCATTTCCACAGGAGCATCCACCTTTGCCTGGCTTTCCCTAGTGTATAAAGGGAAGGCAGCACTGCAGTGTGTTGCAGCTCTCTTTGAGAGGCTTCCAGCTGGCCAGGGCATCACCCCACTGCCCACAGCTCCTGCCTTGCTGGGCAGGCTCTGGCATTGGCATTGGTTTTGGGGATATGTTAGTAGAGGAAAAAAATTCAGTGTAAAGGAATTAGAAAAGAGAAAAATGGGAGAAGGCAGGAAGCAGTCAGTCAATAGGGGTGGTAGAGAAGCATGAGAGAACCTCAGAAGAAAGGAAAAGAAGAAATTGACAGGAGGAGTCCTTGTATTTTTTCTCTTATTTCCTGTTTTCCTTTGTTTTTTCACCAGTGCTTTTTTCCCCTTTCCTTCCTTCTCCCTTCCATCCCATCCTACCCTGCTCCTACCCTGACCCCCCTTCCCAACCAGCCTGTAATCCAGCAGTGTGTTTATGTCCAAAAATGAGGGTCTTTCTGAATCCAGAAAGGCATGTTCCATCCCCTCGGATAGCAGCAAGCAGAATTTATCAACATGTAATTAGCAAGCAGAGGCAGTGCTTTTGTAGGAAGAGTCAGGGTGTTGCTCTCATTGTGGAACATAATTGTGGGGTAAATAAACATCTCGTTTGTGTCAGGCCTGTAAATGAAATACCACTTATGGCTTAGGTAGAAATTTGCAGTCCACAACTTGCTTCTGAAGGGAAGAGGAGGGGCAGACACTGATTTCTTCACTCTGGTGACAGTGACAGGACCTGAGGGAATGGCCTGAAGTGGTGTCAGGGCAGGTTTAGGTTGTATATCAGCAAAAGGTTTATCACCCAGAGCATGGTTGGGCACTGAGCAGGCTCCCCAGGGAAGTGGTCATAGCACCAATCCTGATAGATTAGGATTTGGACAATGCTTTTGGGCACAGGATGTGATAACTGGGGTGTCCTGTGCAGGGGCAGGAGTTGGACTTCATTATCTTTGTGTGTTCCTTCCAGCTCAGCTGATAATGTGATTCTGTGATGTGGGATCTCAGGATTTGAGCCCTGGGATGCAGGGCCCCCGAGACCATCCTTGGGGGGCCCGGGAGTCCTGGAATGTTGCCAGAAGTGTCTGGTGGCAGGACTTTGACCCTACACGGGAGACGACACCTTTATGAAGATAAGAGGGCCTCACCGGGGTGAAGGGTGGAAAGATTAGCTAATTAGAGGGTAAGAAACAGGGTTTAGGATTTATGTACAGGGGGGTTTAGAGGAGCAAGATGGAGGAATTGGGGTGTGTCCTGCCCTCCTTCTTCTTCCTCCTCTCCTCCATCTTCTTTGGCCACGGTGGCATTTTTGGATTGGTTATTACTAAGAGTACACCGAGTTATAAGAATAGATGGTATTGGGGAAAAATGATAAATATTGTACACGTCATAATGGGTATAAAGATAGGTGCCTGCCCGAGAGGGAGAGACAGTGTGCCCATGGCTGACTGCTGAGCGGATCTTTGTTAGGCTGAAAGAACATCTTTTAGATAAACAATTAATAAACATAAAACCAGAAAGAAGAACTGAAGCCTCTTCTCGTCCTTCGATACGCGGGCTGCCCAAGGCCACCCCCGGGCCTTTCAGGCCCCTCAAACAGCTGAGATAAACCGGACACTGTGATAATGCCAGATATTACCATTTAAAAGCAGACTTGTTGTTGATTCCCATGTGAATGGGTTGCTGTCAGGGACTGCTGAGAGTATCAGGCAGATTTGACTGGCAAATGCAGTCCACGGGCTCACAGCATGCCAAGGGCTCCTGACAGGCTGCTGTGTATTAATACATTTATTCATTTCCCCATATTCCTAACATCTAGAGCAAGTGACAAAAAACCACTAAGCTGTGGAGAGCTTCTCTAATATTTTTTGATTAGCTGACAGTGTTTGTGAAGCTGCTAATACTTCTTCATCCAGAAGAGGACATTTCTCAAATGAAATCACAATAACCCTGAGTTGGATGTGCAGTTTGTGACTGATAGCAGGAGCTCGGTCACAGTCAGTAAGTAATGCTGTCTGGTGTTGTGTGGCTGCAGAGCTGTTGCCTGTATTTCTGAAATGTTTATGCTCTGTCAATCAAGAGACAGCAGATGCCATTAAAACCATCTCAGCACTTTCCAGCTGCACAAGAATTGCAGCGTCTCTTCCAAGCACAGCAAAATGTCAGGGTTTGCTGAGACCTTCTCTTTTAATTTTGTGCATAGTTGTAGTTGATTTTTTCTGGTGAGCCTATGGTCCAGGCACAATCTAGCAGAAGAAAAGGTCACTGTGTGTGACCTTTTCTAGACAAGTTAAAAGATGTTCCTGACTTTAATTCAGGGCAATGCCCTCCCGGCTCACTGGCACAACTCAGGTGGTGCACAGAATGGTAGTTCACTGTGGAATGGGCTGATGGCTGTTGCAGGTAGGTAAGGAGTCAAGGCAGGGCTCCTTGGGGATGGATGTAATTTATATGTAATTGTATCTGCCCTCTGGACAGAGCTCATTTAGGTATATAGTATCAGATAAGGTATGACACTTTTGCTGAGAAAACACCTACATCTCATATCTTTTTAATGAATGTAATGCAGAGAGAAGCCTTTACTTGTGTTTTTATCAGGTCAAGGACTGTAGCTCAAGGGTTCTTTAATACACACATCCATCAGTTTTCTCCAAATCACATTGGGAGGGAGAGACTTTGCAGCATCCCCAACAGATCCATGAACCTTTAGCCAAGGATTTGGGTTCCCAGGAGGGAGAACCAATGCTGTGTGGTTTCATGTGATCTCATTTGGACTCCCCCAAAAAGCTAGCTGTCTGTTAAGAGTCAGTGATGACCTGCAAGTGGAGTTTCCTCCTGTAGGAAATTACTGCAGCCTCCTGCAGTAATTTTAAAAAACACATAATAAAATATGAGAGGGAGCAAACTGCTGCTGGCAAAGAGGCAGGCGCAATATGCTGACAGTACTTTTATAAACCAAATTTGCATTATTTCTTGGCTTGTAAGCTATAAAAATATTCTTACTTTGTCATGTGTTGCAAAATCTGCCACTATGCATTAATACAAATAGAATAATGGAGCCAAGTCCTGAAATTGCAGCATTAAAGATGGAAAAAAATAATCTTGGCATGGTGAAATTGCAGAAATACTGTTTAGCTGCCACTGCTGTTTTATTGTTGCAGCTGCATCAGTGGTGAGAAGGAGCAAGGGACCATGCACAAATGGTATGCAGGCTTCCCTTTCTTCCTTTGCCTGTTTAACACTGACCATACAGGCTCAGAGACCCCTGTAGCATCAAGGGCTGCTCAGCAGACCCTTCCTGGGGCCCAGTGTGGAGCCACTTGTCCCTCAAGAGGAATGTGCTTGTGCAGGAAAATAATGAGGTTTGTATGAAATAGCCCTTGGGGAGGTAAAATAGTATCACTAAATTTGGTGTTGCCACCCTCCTATACATCTATGAGACCTGGGAGAGAAAGCAGAAATGAGGAAGAAGTTGAAGGGTCAGATATTTAACAGCAGCCATTTGAAGGCTACTTTGTGTTATGTTAATCCAAGGGCTCTTACTGAATCACAGGTAATACAGAATTCTGTATTCTGTATTTAGCCTTGAACCCATTCCATGAGGTGGAATTATTGTCTTCCCACAGTGTTTGAGTTACAGCTACAATATGTGCTTTTCTCAGAGCCAGTTTCTAGATGTGATGCTGTTGCTGCCTTTCAGGCTGACTGGACTTTGGATCTTTGTGAAGTGTTGCATGAGCCATAAATCATCCTTGCAGCTTCTACCCCATTTCCTAGAAACCTGGAAACTATAAGCATGAAAGAGCTCAAAGTAGTTTCTCTGGTTCGATATTATTTTTTGACAGCACCAAATGACATGTATTTCATGGAAAGAGATTTCCCCTGCTCCTGAATTTTGTACTTTAGGAATTTTTTAAAATAAAGTACTTTAAGAGCAGCTTAGGTCCTAAGATGTAATTTTCTTCCAGGCAGTGTCACCTCAAGTATATAACTAAGTATTCATTTCTTCAGTTTACACAGTTTCAATCTTACATATTTGGATTGTGTATCTTTGGGGGAAAAAGTGCTGAATAAATAATTCCAAGTGCCAGAAAGCTGGTTGAATGCTCATTGAGCGAATTCCTTATGAACCAGAATGATCCTGGTGTCAGACAGCATGGCTTTATGAGTCTCTTCTGTGGAAAGCAAAACACTTTCCTTATTTCTCTAAATATTTTGGGGATGTGGAATAACAGCCTTGCTGTTCTGTGGTGATGGGGAGCATTGAATTAAATGAAGGGCACAATGAACATAAGGTGGTTAAAGGGGAACATGACTTTTTTGTAAACACCTCACTTCCCTTGGGACAGTAATTTTCATGTTGTTTCAAGGTTTTTTTTTTTAAAGGCAAAAACACAGATACCCAAACCCCCACTGGTTTTCCTTGCTGGTATTTTAAAGATTAAATTAGCTCCAGTTGCAGTTATAGAAAGAGTGCTGGCTGGTGGGTAGGATGGAGGTTGGGGTATGTGTGTGTGGAATTTTTATAATTTATTTTTATATTTGATGCTTTTGCCTTTGGCATCACACACTTTTGCATTGGCTTTTTTTTTTATTGGCTGAAGAATCAAAATAAATAATAGACAATCTTTATCTGTAGATTTTTTTAGGCCACTGAATGCGAAGGAAAAGTTAGATTTCAGCATTTCAGTCTTGACAGTGAATTTAAAAACTCATCCGAAGCATTCCTAAGCAACATAAAAATTTACACCTAAGTATGACACATTTCATGTATCTCAAGACACAAAGCTAAACTTCTGGCAATGTTCAGTGAATGAAAGGTTAATAAAAATTCAGGTGTTAATCTGCTTCTGTTCTAGTTGCATATTCTTGTGCAGTAATGTACTCTTGGCTCTTAGGCTGCCTCTAAATGGGAGTCTAGTGCTTCTGGAATTTTATATATCTAGCCTTGTACAGACTGACTGGACAGCAGTCAGAGCATTATTGTGCAGGCTTTTAGCTGCCTGTCAGCAAAGGTGACCTCTGCTCATCTGCTGCTGCATTCCAGAGGTGTGCAGGGAGAACAGGCAAGTGGGACTGTGGGGCTTTGCCAAAGTCACTTGCAGCAGAACTGCTGGGTTTTTTTTGCCTGCTTTCATTGCATTGTCACCTGCTGAAGATATTTCTGTTCTCCATTTAATATGTCGATTAATCCCAATGAGGATTTGTGGTATCTGGAAAGGATTTATAAAACACAAGTGTTCCTTGAAAGCAAGTACTGACCTGAGGCTGGAGAGGTGGCTCAAAACTCTTTTGCCCTGGCTTTTCTGCCTTGTCATAGGAGTAATGACTGGGCAAGAAAGGGAATGGCATAACAAGCTGTAGAGTTCCAAGAGCCTTTAGGGCCACTGAGAGTCCCTATGAAAATAAGCAGTGAAGGAATCTGGGGACTGGGGTAGGGGATCTGTGTGCGGGATGTGCCACAGCTGTTGTGTGCTCTGTGCGCCAGGTGATGGGTGGGAAGAAAACATCTCTGCACCACTGGATTTCTGCTGCTCAGGTGGCACTGTCTACTGCAGCTTTCTGTGCCCTCACCACAGTGTCCTTCTCAGTCCAATGCCCATTTTTGCAAGTGTTAAAATGCTTCCTCAGACCTGAAAACAGACAACAGATGTAATGAGAGCAACTGTAAGGTTGCTGAAGTAGTAAAGAGGGGCTGATGGCAAGAGCCATGTCTGTAGAGAGGACATGCTGCAAAGATGCTTTGTTGGAGAATCTTATCTTCCATGTCTTGAAGCTTTTCCTTTCTTCATCTCCAGCAGAGAAGCAAACAGTGGTTTTGGTTGGAAGAGATCTTAAAGATCATGCAGTTCCCCCTTCCTTCCATGGACAGGGACAACTTCCACTAAACCGGGTCGCTCAAAGCCCCATCCAATCTCTCCTTGAACATTTCCAGAGGTGAGACATCCACAGGTTCTCTGGGCAAATTGTGCTAGTGTTTCACCACCCTCACAGTAAAGAATTTTTTCCTTACATCCAATTTAAACCTACCCTCTTTCAGTTTAAAGTCATTCTCCCTGGTCCTGTTACTACATGCCCAGGTAAAATGTCCCTCTCCAGCTCTCTTGCAGTTCCCCTTTGTATACTCAGAGCCACGATTAAGGTCATCTTTGAGCCTTCTTTGCTCCAGCCTGAATAACCCAGCTCTCTCTCTGTCTTCATAGGAGAGGTGCTCCAGCCCTCGGATGATCCTTGTAGACTTT